GGCTAAACAGTGGTTTGAATCTCAGTGTTGATACTCCAATGTTCCTTTCATTCTTCCAATATACGAAGAGTTTTCAGTGTCTCGCATTCTTCAATTAATGACCTTGAACTATAGTATTCGAACCAAGTATACGAAACCATCATTCATGCATAAATGGCGCAACACCCACAGTTACAACAGTTAGTTTTCAGTGCAATGTGTTCATATTAGCAACTGTTCTTTCCATTTTATTCCGGAGATACCTAACTCACCAAATATGAATTCTCTTAAAAGTCGCATTCTACATTCTTGCACAAAGAATGATTTGATTTATTTCTTACTTAACAAAAAAGACTAACAAGTTGCTTTGAAGAACATATACAAACTAATTCTGGAACTAAGTTGCCAACTCGAAACTAAAATACGGTAGCATTTAAATACATCAACAAATAATTAATCTGGGTTATATAAAGGACGTAAGCTCAGAACTCTTAAATAACACTAATTCAACACAGTTTTAATTAGTATTGATATCTTACTGATATTCATAATACACTTATATTAAACATTTGAACGCGATTCCTGTGCCCTGCCAACCAGGCTATCCCGGTCCCTTCCAATTTTCTGTTAAATACAAAATTTTGTTAATTCCCTTGTCTTCTGGATTGGGTTCAAAATTACAAGGCTACGGAGTTAGTAGTCGTAAGCCCATAAAATTACGTCGGCTGTTCAACGATGATTATAAAATGTAACATAAATAACATTACAAAAGTATGTTTATTTTCAATTACATTTCTATTATTTTAAGAGTTTAATATTCGCTTTATTTTCTACATGAAGGCACTGATATCGATATATATATTTGAATTCTGCAGCATATAACTTGAACTAGTTTATCTTGATAATTACCTGAACCAGGTAACTGTCCATGTGCCATGTTCTTGCGAAAGTGGTGAAGCTTATTATATTATTAGTGGTGAAGCTTAAGTTAAAAAGTGATTAATTTAGTTCCTTCTTCAAATCTGAGAACACGCGAAAGTTTCTGAGAAGTTGTGGCTCTGTGTTGAAAGTTGTGAGGAAGAATGTATTTGCACTTCTGGTTACATGTTTGTACGAATTTTATTATTTTCGATTTTGAGTTAAGTGTTTCATAATGCCTGTAAGAGTTTATTGTTCTTCTAGCAGGCATATAGTTATCATACTTTAATTTTAATCGATTTTTCTACGAGGATGATATGAAATATAAAGTTCATTGCTTTCACATGGGCATAGTGACAAGCTGGTGAGAATGGTTGAAAAAAATTAAAACAGGTTTTATGAAATTATGTAGGGACTCAATGGTTTGAAATGTAACTAACTAGCATGGAGACCTCCTCTTTGGAATAAGCTTCATATATTTTCGCTTGAATCGTACAAAATGATAATCTTAATACTTTTTTTCAATCTGTCTGGTGGATTAACTAAATTTCACTGATGTCATAAATTCTTCTAAATTCGGAAACTAATGGAGCAACATTTTATTCAAAGCAAAGTTTGTCCCTGTAGCTATTTCAATATTGCACTGTAAGATTGTGCACGATTATGTAGTCCAATAATCATTTGAATATTAGTTAATTTTTTTGGAGATTTTTTTCTCCTTAATAAATAGGTTTAAAAATTATGAACGCGAAACCTTCATGTGATTAAAAATTTCTATTCCCTTGCCGCAGAAATTTGATTAAACAAATTTTTATACTTTTTTCCTTATTTTGTAATAATGTAGGTCAAAATGAGTGAAAAATAATATTTTTATCATTATAATAATTTATAGCTAAGAATTATATATGAAACACCGGTGTCTCCTTCTAGGTAAAAAGTAAAAATCTTCACATTTCAAAAACTTTTCAAATTTTTGCTTTTTTGAAGTTATTCATCATTAAAATGTCTTTAATTTACAAAATCAATCATTGACAAATATTTTATATGAATTTTTCATACTACTCTCTTTTGATTTTATATTTCAGTACGATTCCGATATTCTAATAGAGTTTTTTTAGTAACTATTAGATTAATTTTTCAAAGATTTAAAAATATCGAAATATATTTTTACGTGCAGTTAGAAACGGAGAAAAAATATTTAAGAGGGATACCAGTATCCTATGAAAGCTCAACAACTTTAAAGAGTAAGCTATTGTCGTGTCAATAGTGGTTTTCATCAATACAACAGTGAAAACTTTCAATTTATTTGGGATTTAGAACATTTTGGAGTACACAGTTGTGTGTATGCAACTTCTAATGAAGAAAATTCTACTTGTGTCTCTGTACTCTGTATCGAATATTTCTATTTGATTTGTTGAACAAATACTTGGTTTTTCTTCATCCAAAATTTTGTAACAGGACTCAAACACTTAGAATCTGCAGGTATTGCATTCTTTTTCCATCCTGCAAAAAGTAGAAAAACAAAAATGAAATAATTAAATAAATTTTTAATTCACATAATATATATTTATAGATAAAGAACATTTATTGGATATCCTTTTATCTCTATGTAAAAAATTATAACAATGTGTTGATGTCATGATACCCAAAACTGGCCTACCATTTAAAAAAAAGTGGAAAGAAGGTCGTGTTCGCTTTGCTCAGGAAACTAGAAATCTTATTCATACTAAGTTTCGAAGTTCGTTGATAGATAGCGCTCTTAAATTTGGAAGAAATTTTAAAAAAAAAATTATTTCAATATAATTGTTAGCAACAATAACGTTTTAGCATTTAAAGAAGAAAATAAACAGTTCTCCTCTTAACCATTTTAGTTAGAATCATCCGTTGAAGGTTAAAATGGAAAGAGGAGGAAAGAGTTATTTCATAGTTTTTCTAATCAAACGCGCCCGCTGTTGATGACATTTATAACTAGTTCTGAAACCTTATAATAAAACAACTTGTTTCCTAAGTTGAATGTAGCAAACTAGGACTTTTACAAAACGTTGGTCATTATCAGTAGCATATAATGAAATAGAGGAAGTATGATTAAAGATTGTCATACAGATCGATAAAGTTTTTAAAAAGGTATACTAAAACTTTTAATAGGATTTAATGTAAATATGAAAAAATTCAGTTGTATAAAATTTAAAGATAACTTATAATTAAAGAAAAAACCACAAACGCATTGTAATTTTTGATAATGATAACAAATAAAATTTTATTATTTTCCGAATAATTCGATACTATGCACATCAGTGAATATTTTCTAAACTATAATACAGAAGAAGATACAGCTCATATTGCAATGACATGCATAGAGATAGTAATCATTTTTTATTTCTTATTCTTGCATACTTGTTGAATTCTTAATACTATAGGAAAATGCTGTTACTTATACCACTTAAGTGCCCGCAAGGAGGCTTGAAACCAAGTGAATTTTTAAAGCTGATGGTGCATTTCTGTTTTTTTCCAGTTGCGCCATCTATGGCCAAGAATACGAATTCAGTCTCACATACGTCACAGCCCGTTTTACATGGAGAACCCAATCATACTCCATTAATTCATTTATTCCCTAATCGGAAATTTTGACCCTGACCAGAGAGCGATCAATCTCCTATTTAATAACCCCAGAGATATTAATTTGTTATGGGAACTTGGAGGACTTTGTGACAAACAGATTTAACGTGCCCAGTCATCATTTAATATATAGGAATTCCTCTACCTGTGGGATTTGATCTCACGTTTTCGAACACAACGTCACACGAGCACAACGTCCTACCAACAAGGCTATCCCGACTTCCATTATAAAAATTAACGAAAAAGAAAAAATGACTTTATAAATAAAAAGACTTTTACAGATGTTTCTTAATAGAAATTTCATAAAATGTTGTAATAAATAAGCTATTTTATTAGTCATACATTATATATTTTATTAGTTATAATCCTATATACATATTTATATTAGTGTAAATAAATATTTATGTTATAATCTATTACAGATTCAAAAATTGCTCCCCAAAAAAAGGTTTTTTTTAAAAATAAATCAAATCAAATTGAGTGCCTTAAATTTTATAATGAGACACTAGTTCATTAAGCTACAATGCGTAAGCATAACAAGTTCCAAATTAAAATTAGTCACTGGGGAAAAAATTAGTCACCCTTAGAGAAATCTTGAAAAACATCATTTAATAACGTGCAACACCATCTTCGGATTTGATAACCACCTGAATTCGGTTAGGAAGTGAATATATCTATTTGGATGGAGAAACCGGTTTTGCTATGAAGAGAAAACTACAGGTTAAAATTCAACTTTTTACGTGCAGAACAGTTAGTGGGTTAAGCCAAACGCTGAGGATTTGCTCGCTTCAATCCAACAAATCGCGAGATTGCTGATTTCGGCCACTTACCCGTTGTTCCAACATGTCTCACGAATTTTCAATGGAGTTCAAATCGGAGGTGGTTTTGCAAGCCAGTCGAGATGCACTTGAGGGTCTGAGTGTTCATAAAACCAATCACATATTTTTCAATCCAGAGGAACTCTGCTGTTGTCCTCTTGAAAAATAGAGGCATCGACAGCATTCTCTTCTTGAAGTTGTTGACAGAAAGGCAACACTTGATCATTCAGAATCTTCAAATAAACATGTTGGTTCATGTTAGTGGTGGCTTCAGTGAGTGAATCCAATCCATAATAAGCCCTTGTACCAACCTTGAACATAATCAGGATGAAATGCTACATCTGGTCTACTGTGCACTCGACGACGTGAGTCATTTAAATAAAGGCAAAAACGTGATTCGTCAGACCATATTACATTCCGCGAGTCAGCAACTGTCCACGTTCGGTGACTTCTAGCCGACTGAAGTCGCGCAGCTTTATGTGCCTGCGTGAGCAATGGCCTCTTGCGAGGTGTTCGACTCCAAATGTTTATTTCATGAGGCTAACGCCACAATCTTCTCTCACTAACAGATTAGGATGGACCTTTATTCACTAACTGCAGCAATTTCTGTCGGGTTTGAAAGCGATTTTGATTGACAAATCGTGAAACACGTCTCCGATCTCTTTCACACACGATCTTTTTCGATCACAATTCTGACGTCGTCTTTCGTGACCACGCGTATTATACCACTGCTTGTAAACACGTTGAACAATCCGCATCGAAACACCAACAAATCCAGCAACTTCATTTGACCATGGGCACGACCAAATACAATTGCGCCTTTTTGCCACTCTGCCCCATCATTGCACTTATATTTGCGCACAATTTTCGCTTAAAATGAATCTCACTGATGGCTTCTTGCCTTTGATCACGCTGAGGCAGTGCACACGCAGTTGAGCACATCACTTGACCCCTGCGTCATCAAGCAAAACCTAACGATTCAACGGTACTTGCGTACTAGGGTGACTAATTTTTTGTCCGTTGAGCTTATGCACGCTTTTAATATATGTTTTAAAATGTTTTAATTTAAACTTTTAATATATTTATGTTAAAAATTGTTTTAACAGATTATGAAGGAATATTAACATACTTACCCGTTATTAAAGCAGCAAAAGCTGTGAGTAAAAATGTCAGAAAGAATCCAATGAAAGAATACCACATAAATGTCATTTTGTACAGTACGAAGTGATTCCTGAAATACATACTCATTTATTATTGATTTTATTATGTTTATATTCAAGCTAACTTATTTAATATTTCACCAATATTAGCTTTAGATGATGAGAATGACAATAATTTCAGAATGCAAAATGATATATTTACATATCAACTCATTAAATATTTCAACGCTATAAATGGGATGAGTGACACTATTTTAAAAGTGCGAAATGATATTAAAAAGTCATATTCTCTTCCCAAATCGGATTTAAATTAGATTTTCGTTTTTTCCTTCCGATTTTATGCTTTGCTTTTTTAACATCTTCGCCAAGTTTTTGTCAAACACATGGTTTGACATTAAGTTTCAAAAAAGTGAGAAATAAGGCATTTGTTTTTATAAGATTTAAAGAAATTACTCTTTCTAAGGTAACTTCTATGGATTTCTCTCAAAAAATAAAAGCGATAAAATTATGAGATTCATAATTTCGGAAAATTGTTTTGGTACTTCACATATTTTAGTTCTTTAAGTTTAGAATTTACATTTATTTTTGTTTTATCTGGCTGAAACTAATTTGAATGTTAATGAAAAAAAAATCTGAATTTATATTACTCAAGAAGAAAAGTATTTTTCAAAACTTTAAATTCTGGAAAACCTTTATTTCTGAATAGCATTTCAGAAAAATGCTGGTTGTGGAATTGTATTGGCTTTACTTTATCAGGAAAGTATTATATAAAATTAGAATACTGTTTGCTAAAACTCTTCATTTGTAATTGAGTGATAATAATGAGGTTTACATGATTAAATACTTAGAGTAAATATCAATAACTTTTTTGGAAATTAACTAAAAACAATAAAAATTTATTTAACTCTTCTCTAAATCGTTCATTCTCTCCGAATTTTACTTGCAAACCAATAAAATATTTATGTATATATATGTAATTCCTTTATTTATGATTAAAAATTAAGCAATTATTTTAAAATTTATGCATTGTAATGCATTTTATTAAACTTATTTACCAAATTTTAAGTTATTAAGTAAGTATTTTTAAAATTTTTAAGTTAGCCGCTTTTTAAATGAATAAAATGAAAGAATATAAATTAGTTGCTTAATAAATAAGAAAGAATAGGCAACAAGCTTTAAGTTAATTAACTATAGGTAAACACAAAGGAAGGAATATATATATCGCTCACGGGCTGCAATAGTGGCACAACTCAAAAAACGCGCGTTTTGAACTAAGAACAGGTGTAAATATGAAAAGACAAATTCTTTTCAGCAGCAATACTAGCACAACTCATAATTCAACTTGCAGGTAATCTTTATTTAAGCAAACTAAAGCATTTCTTATGCATTTTTCTCAGCAATGAAAACTTTAAAAACCCACTGTCTCAAAACATGATTTTTTGTTTCACATAGCATGTACGAGGGTTGCTATTTATATTTCTGGCCTTGACAACAGTAAGTGTTGCTAGGCGACCGCAGACGATTTTAATCGAAAGTTTGATATTTTTAAACATAAATTCAGCAGACGATTTACCATTATAGCTTCATTTGTGTTGTTGACAGTAAATTGAAAGGTTTTTCTCTTTCAAAAAATGGAATTGAATCGTGAACATTTTCGTGCCATTATTTTTCATAATGTGTAGTTAAATAATTGATTACAAGAG